ACCATTTATAATAATAATAATAATAATAATAATAATAATAATAATAATAATAATAATAATAATAATAAAAATAATAATAATAAATAATAAATAATAAATAATAAATAATAAATAATAAATAATAAATAATAAATAATAAATAATAATAATAAATAATAATAATAAATAATAATAATAATACTCCTGGGTGGAGAGAGACAACCGTAGGTAAAGTGCCTTGCCCAGGACACAAGCGGCGTGCACAGTGAGGGATTGAACCTCCGACCTCAAAGTTGAGAAACAGAACCGCAACCGCTGTGCCAGTCCGCTCATAGAAATCATCACCATCTTCATTGTTGTCGACGTCGTCGTTGTCGTTTTAATATCTTGTATACTATGATTTTTTTTTCAGCGCCAAGTGGCCCTCCGATGAACATCACTTACAGACTGTCAGAAACAGATTTGATTTTTAACTGGAAGGAGCCTAGCGAGGATAAAAAGAATGGAGTTATTATAAAATACCGTTATAAACTGTACGAGGGCAAATCATCTACTGGTACCATGATGAGAGATGCTTTGACAACAAACCGCAGAATGATTTTCCAAGAATGGGAGGCAAATAAATTCTATACATTGCGTATTAGGGCGTACACAATAAAGGGCGATGGACCATGGAGTAATGATTTCATTGTGTTAACTACACCGCCTTCGAGTAAGTTAAGTAATACATACAAGTTCAATAATCAATCAAAAAATCAATTCATTCATTGTCTTCTCCCATCCATTCATCCGTCTTTCTTTCCTTCCTTTCGTTCATCCACCCATCTGACATTCCATTATCCATCCAACAATCAATCATTAAGCAATTAATCAATCAACCAACTAATCAATCAGTAATTAAATGAATGTATCTACCAATCGATTATATGACAAATAAAATGAAATTGGGTTGTAACATAAATGAGAGAAATTATTGATGACAGATTTTTAACTGTTTTAACACAACACGTGACACTATTTAGACAAGTAACATGTTCTCTTAAGTGCTATAGCGTTTATAAAATTATTAGGAGACTTCTGTACGGAGCTTATTCAAGAAAGGAGGTTTTTTGTAAGAGGTGTGTTTTCAGGAGCATGATTAATTCTCTTACTCAAGAGCAGTATTTGGACATATTGCAACACTAGTATTTTTTAATATGCAAAAGAAAATTGGTCTTTAATTGTATACCAATGGTACGAAACATCAAACGACATTATAATTATAAGTGATATTCAACAAAGATAGACCCATATAGGCCTATCTGCAATCAATTATTAGGGGGATTAATTATTAATTATTAGGGGGAAGCGTTTAATAGATCATTTACAGTTGTTCTCTGATTTGTAACGTAAAGTATTTTATTTTCTTCGCAGGTACACAGAGCCCGGCTCTACCGACAAGATCAGGTGAAATAGGCTTGCCACTGACGCCTGAAACAGTCATTACTGACACGCAAAAAAACACCAATTCTAGCCTGCAGGACAGATTAGGAATTATCGTTGCTGCAGTTATTGTCTGCATTATTTTTGCTGTTATTATTATTGGTCTGATGTTGTGGACATTAAACATGCGCAAATCACGTCGTAATAATGACGACTTACCAAGGATCACCTTACAACAAGTAAGAAAAAATATTAGGTTAATGATATTGTTAATATTGAAATTAACATTTATTTGTATTTATTTATTTATTTATTCATCAATTTGTCAAGGCTCGTGAAATTTGCATAGAATCCAAATTCATGGTACAAAACATGCATAGGCCTATGGGACTAAACTTTTCACATTTAGCGTCCTTAAATAGATGTTTTAAATTTGGTACGGAAAAAACACCCCCTTTATTTTGAGTTTCATAAATTACAGAATCCTAGAATAATGTCTTACTTCTACATTTATCTTAAGTTCGGTGTTCAAATCCACTGCCAACCTTTTCTTTTTTATCTTTCTCTTGCTCATATTTGTTTTCTTCTTAAAATGATTATTTGATTTGATTTTTGTTTACCACTGTCGTACGCAAGCCTTATAATAGGCTATTCAGAATACCATTTCAGTAATTTTTACTGTGATTGAGAACCCATTTTACAACGTTCTTCACTATTGAGCTCGTAATAGTTGTGAATTTTTACTGTTAAAGGTCGTAACTACTCTTACTAAATATAAAAGTTTTACACCGGAACCCGTTTAAAGTATAGTAAATTAAGCCAAAAAACTAACCTTTAACTTTTTTTTTCACATTCCAAAGTCAGTTTTCTTTAACTTTGTAGTATCATTTTTACAAATTTTTGCGTTGATGCAAATTGGTATTTTTTCTTCATTTTCTTCATTATTTATTACTTCATACATCATGTGGCTTACAGCGCCATAAGTATTATTTGCTACTTTCCCGTCATCTTCGTCGCTATTGTGTATATTGTAAACAAAGGCTTCATTTAGACCAAATTATAATTTATATGTGAAGTTGTTTTTTTTCCAATTCAATACAGCATGTTTTGTTTTGGATCATTGCCAATTATGGTACACGGTAAAATAATATGGCGCAATTCCAATATGTATAATTTTCTACTACAACAAACGTGTTATTATTCTCTATTTCTAAAGCTATTGAGAGAAAGAATGCTATCCAACGAAACTGTGGTGGCACAACGCTCCCCGGGAATTGTCACCCCTGGTATGTTTACATTTTCAAGTACGGGGTCACCGCCCCTATCACCAGGTCCAATGTCACCAACATGCAAAAGCCCGTTGCCGATACTATCACCCCAGGCAGAGTACTACAAGATCCCTTGGGAAAATATGATACTGGAGAACTTTTTGATTGCTGAAGGAAACTTTGGTCAAGTTATGAAAGGAGTGGTAAAGAAGGAAGGAGCTGCAATACAGGCAGCTGTAAAAATGTTGAAAGGTACTGTGACAGCATTCAGTATTCAGTATAATATATATTTGTCATTGATATAGTATTTAAAATTGACAATTCCAACGGTCCGCTCATGAAAAATAAACAGAAATATTAACTAGGTAAAAATATAAGGTAACATTATCAATTAATGAACTGTCAGTGTTTTGTAAATTATGCATTATATTTTGGCTACAAAATAAGATAGCAGACTAGATATGATACGATAGTAATGTGTCGTCAGAACATGATAATACTAGTTTAATACCAGCTTATGGGTGTCTGTTATGATCACACAATATGGTACGGTAATATTTTAAGACTGTGGTGGCTGTGAAGTGTTCTCTCCAGGGTACAGCAAGATTCACGGAGGGCCCTGGGATGCCCCAATAATGCTAATCTGTACCAAGTTATTAAACCGTGGAAATTCTACCACTTTCAACCCTTGCAGAAGGTGCGACCGACAATGACAGGCGAGATTTCTTCGGAGAGCTGATGATAATGGCAAAAGTAGGCTACCATCCGAATATCGTCAACCTTATTGGAGCATCTGAATATCAAGGTTAGTTAAGTTCAAATGTCAGAAATGAATCAAGATATGGTTTATCCATCATTTATTGTTTCGACAAAGTCATTGACATATAGGCAGCGGTACAATGTCTTCCGGAGTGTATTTTTGTATTTAACTACTATTAGGTCGGTTGATATTGGTGAGTAATCATAATGATACAGACTCTGTGGTCCCCAAGTAAAGATTATTTAGGCGATACCGAGGTTGGTTAACACAAAGTAGGCCTACATTTAGTTAATGTAAATACAAAATATACATTACCATCTATAACTGGAATTTGAAAACCTTTTAAAAATAACAATAAAAAATTAATAACTTGCTTATTTTTAAAATGATTATCTTGAACAATTTTTACACTGATTTTTATACTAGATAATGATAATAATAGAAATAAACCACTTCCAGTGACTGTAAATATTATGGAAAACATTTTTAAAATAGGCCTACACTAATTTGTTGATAATATTTAAGTTATTTTGAAATTTTTATGATTTTTTTTTGGTATTTTGAACAATACCGCACCGTACACCTTTAACTTTAGGGTTGAAGTGATTCCGAAGCTACGGTATTCATTTCGAGATTTTTGTGGAAACAAATTAGCGTTAAATAATGAAGGCCTACTTTGAGCTAACCGTATACCACTGAATTGTATACCCGTATTAAATAACATTATGATATGCCACATAAATTATTTTAATACTAAGCCTACCTTACATTCGTCGACCGCGTTATTATTTGGTCTTTATGTTTTTGTTTTTTTTTATCAAACGAACAATAATATAATAAGTACCGTATTTTATACAGTCTTGAAATAAATTAAATAGTAAGCATACCGGTATTTAGCTAATAATTTGCTCATATTGAAAATTGAAAGTATTACTGATGTCTTTTATATATTATTTTATTGTTTTGTTTATTAAGTCAAATCAATTTCGTTTTATGCAATTATATTTGTAACTATTTGAATCTAAATTCACATACTATTCCATAGGAATATTGTACGTGGCCACAGAATTTGCAGAATATGGAAACTTGCTAAACTACTTACGGAGAAGTCGGTGTCTGGAAACTGACCCAACTTACGCAAATAAAACAAACTTAGCTTCGACTCTTTCATCAGAGAACCTGCTCCAGATCGCAGCAGATGTTAGTCTTGGAATGAAACATCTGTCAGAGAAGGGGGTAGGTGAATTGCTAAAGTCGAAAAACTGAAAAACAATAATATTACAAGAAATGTCTTGTGTAAAATAGTGATGTTTGCGAGGATGATAATAATAATAATAATAACGACTATGTTTTTATAATTATAGGATATTAATGAAATTTTAATTGAATGTGGATGATGATGATTAGAAAAGAAAATGATGATGATTCTGATGGTGATGGTGATGAAGGAAGGAAATGGTGATGAGGATAATGATATTCAAGACAGAAAAGATGATGAAATTGATGATAATGATGATGTTGATGTTGTTGTGATGATATTGTTGATGATGTTGATGATGATGCTGTTAATGGTGAATGATTATGATGATGATGATGACTAGAATATTGATAATGATAATAAGGATGTGAGTTTGCGTCAGGAAATATCATAAAAGTGATGATTTGCCCAGCCTGGCGTGTTATCGTACCGAATACTCAGTACGTACCCAAGTATTAGCGAAAAAAAATCGCAAGTGATTCGGGTGGGAATCGAACCCACAACCTCCAGGTATCTAGCCTGATGTATTGACCACTAGACCACCGAGCTTGCGCTTAGTGACTAGTGATGAATTCGATCCCCATAGTAGCAGCGGGTACTGCAAGTGCTATTAGGATGTGAGTTTGCGCCAGGAAATATCATAGAAATGATGATTTGCCCTATCTGACGTGTTATACTATTTTTTAAATTTCAATTATATATTAGTGCGTACATCGCGACTTGGCTGCAAGAAATATTCTACTATGCAATGCTGACTGTGGCCAGATCGTGGCTAAGGTGACGGATTTCGGTCTATCAAGAAGTGAGGAAGTTTACGTAAAAACCACAGCAGTGAGTTATATTTATTAGGCCTAAGATACTTATGTGAATTTATGTTTTGAGATTGGTCGATTTCGATATCCGAATGATTTATATTTTAGCCCTATACCGGATTTCTTATATATTCTTTTTTAAATAAGAATATAGCGTCATATTTATATACAAAGAAATATATAGCGGGAGTTTTGCGAGAAAGTGCTAGCGATTTTTAATTTAATTATTTTTTACTATATTTATAGAGGGTGACTTCAGCGAAGTCACTTTGTTTTAGTCATGACAAAAAGTCGTGCTGTCACAGAAATTAAACCCAGGATTAGCAGGCAAACATCTTAACAACTAAGCTATTCAACTCTACTTTCTTTTTATTATTACCAAAGAGGTATAAAGATTAACATAGGCGTAGATCCCGGGGGGGATGGAGGGGATATATCCCCCCCAATATTTGACAAGGGGGGGA